GCACTGAGAGTATGAGCACGTTCCGCTAGAGTTTTCCAGATGTTTTATGACACTAGTACAAATAATTATGAGCAGGAAAGTTTTGAAGTCTTAAATACAATTTTCATGACATTACTTGTCAGATATTTTATTGCCTTATTAAACGGAGTCTCTTATTCTCAAACAGGAATAAACATCTTAATTTATAATTTATAAATTATAATTTTAATTTATAATTTATAGAAAGGTATTGTTAATCTTATAATATTGTTGTACAAAATGTGTCCGACGATTCAGCTAGTTTACCAAATCCGGTTCGAAGGACCAAAATGTTTAGAATAACTTAGAGGCCACGAGATGTTATGTGGTAAAAGTGTGCGGGCAAGTGGAAGGGATAGCGTATTAAATTCAATATTAATACATCTGTTTGTTATGCTGTTTATACCGTTAATTTCTAGATACAGGAATGATTCTTGCTGCTGATATCAATCGACGAACTCTTGGTTCTGGGCAGATCACACTTGGTTTTGGCTTAGCATGCGCTTTAACCTAAATCTAAAGAGGTAGGAAGTTGTAAATTTCTGCTTTTCTTGACTTAGTGCACTGATGCTATTTCCTGGGAAGTGAGAGATTGTAAAGGTTTAACCACTTCTTCGAGTTAAGCCGCCTGATGTTTCTGCGATTGCTTCGTGCGTGTAGGGCACGTACTTGGTTGGAGGTTAGGATTGGCAAAGTGGGCGCAAATGGCGCGAATATTGGCCTCGTGAGCTTAGGACCCGAGCTAGGAGGAGTTGACTACTTCGATGTAAGTGCTTGTTTTCGGACTCCAATGAGGGAACTTTTTTTTACTTCCTTTTTCTTTGAGGACTTCAACGTGACTACCCTTTTTTATGTCCAATCAGAAAGCTTGCAAATTATAGAGCGAGGGCAGCGCCTCTCGCGCATTGTCTTCAATCACGAAACTCAGCCTTCTCTTGACCTTCGACGCGCCGGTTGTGGTGGCATGGCAGACTTGACAAGAGGGGGTGGGGGAGTATACATACCGTTAGATTTTACATTTTTGGGTCGAGCAATTCTTTCCAACTGCCTAATGAGTTGGGTTTTCCTGAGTCTAACGACTTGCTGTGCCAAATATTTTATGGGAAGGATTTTTCAGAAGTCTAAAGACTATTTAATGATGTTGTAATGCCAGTTGTTTTATGGGATGTTTTATGGATTATGAAAACGTAATCGTAATCTTGAACAATTATTAATGATCCTTTTGTAGAATTCTTATTTAGAAAATTATTCAAAATTTAGTTGAAAGGATAAATAAATGAATGAATGTATATCGCTGATGCTAATGCTAATGCTATATTACAATAATGTTAACGCGTTGAACTTTATGCTCGCGTCTAAATATTAAGGAGCATATTAGTCGAGAAGTCTATTCTTAATATATGAACGCGTATGCGAGCACATATGGAATGTAGGTAAATTTTTGCATATTTGCAGCAACAATTGACATAATAAGTACAATATCGTATCTTCGGTACAGTTTCTTTATTATACTATCTTCTTTCAGTCAATGTTACTTTATCACACTAGTTATATATAGCTGTGAACTTGATCTCTTTCTTCGCTACATTACTCCTAATTTCAATCAGTATTCTTATATGGTACTAGATTAGGTTATAAGTAGACTGCTCCATTAGCAAGTTTTATCGTAAATAATATTCATTAATTAATTATAAATGCATGGAAAATTCGTAGAAACTATAAAAATGATATTCATCAAAGTTAATCGAAATTATAGTGATGTTATTCTTGACTCGGACTGCCAATGCTTCAATAGCTTAGTTTGCCGCCCACCCTAGCAGACGTTCGGGAAGGAGTGAGATGTAGAGGCTGTATAAGAGTCGTGAGAGTTGGTTAATTATACATTTATTATACAATTTATTACACAATTTACATATGGGTGTTGTAGAATCGTCTTAAATCTTATATGAAGATACGATTTCTTGAACGGCTTCTTATATAGGATGAATTACTACACAAGATGCTTTGAAATCGTTGAATTGATGTTGAATTGAAAATTGCACAGGTAAATAATTACTGCGCACTTCTTGTCAGAGAGTGTGAGATAATGCTAATGGTTGTCTTGAGCCGGTTTTGCCGCCAGCTAACAATAATAGAATAGATAAAGTGTATTAGCGTACTCGCAGCAATATCGTAGTTTAAATCTGATCCATCGGTGAGTTGGACACAATTGCACGCGGCAAAGCTAGCGCCTGTGGCGTGACTCTTATACTCACAGGGATACAATAATCTTCATTTGATCCAGCGGTGAGTTGGACATAATTGCACACGGTTGAGCAAGTGCATGCGGCGTGACTCTTATACTCACAGGGATGCAATCGTCTTGATCTGATCCAGCGGTGAGTTGGACATAATTGCACACGGTTGAGCAAGTGCATGCGGCGTGACTCTTATACTCACCAGGATGCAGTAGTCTTGCTCTGAATTACTAACACTTATTTTTTCGTTGAATGATCTTTAGACTTGGCTTCTATGGACATTTAATTTCTATTACTTGACTTTCCTTGAGATAACCCTTGACCGCCCACTTGAGCTTTTTCTTGAATTATCTCTGCGGACAGTACTTGGCTGTCCACAGCCCTTGGCTGCCTAATTCCAATTGTGTTCCAATTGTCCTGCGACAGCGTCTTTTCGCTGCCTTGTTCCCATCTTTAAGGCCTCTTGCCATGAGTCCCCACTCAAGGAGCTTCTGGTCTTAGTTTTCCAATCAGGGCGCGCCGCTTTTGGGCGGCATGATGAATATGCACGTCCTTTTCCCACTTCATAAGAAATTAGGCTTAGACAATGAAAATATCGAAGGGGTATCTCTGGCGGCAATGCGTGAAGTGGAAGATTTGCCCCTCTCCGGGACTCATTGTGGTGGGGGTGGTTTTTGGTCATGCGTCTTCGCTTGGCTTATGCAAGCAGCAACATTTGTCATACTTGACAACAATGCATGCTTGCTGTTGGCATTGAAGGCACACGTGCGACGCAGATTGTCGAGCGTCGCGCGTGCCGAATTTCGGGTTGCAACAGATTTTAAGAAATGTTTTTCATTCAATTGTTTTGAAATATTTTAATCCTCAAAATATAATCTTGTAAACAAGCTAGTCGGGTTTTGATGGTAAGTCGCAGGGGTCTTCATTGCATTCAAAACAATTACTACGTCTTTAGTACAAAACGCAATAAATGGCTGTTTACGAGTTCACAGATGTACAAACCTTTTCGAGTCTCATGCAACCTTGGCAAGACTTTCTTAGTTTATTGTATCCGTTCGATAATTCTCTTATATCAGCTGTTGAAAGTTTTTCTAGTAAATATAATTCGAGAGATTTTATTTTCACTCTCGAACAGTAATACTATTTTATTTTGTTTTGTAAATTACCATCGTAGTATAAACAAAGTACAACAATACAAAATGAGGAAAAGGAAAACAAAGTTATATAGATAAAAGAGTATGTCTAAATAAAATTAAATACTGGACTATCAAACAGTTGAACTATTGGATGATATTTTTTCCTTTCATTAATCCTATAGCTTTTTCTCAGATCTCTTCTATATTTCTATTGGCATTTCGAAACATCTATAGGAACCATCAAGTAAATTTATAAAAAAAATTATTGAAAAATATATTTACAAAAATATTAAATAATGAATAAAATTGAATTTTAGTGTAATATTCCATTAATTCTGAACTAATACAATAAATAAGAATATAAATATATTATATTATTTTTCATTTATTATGTTTTATCAATAAAGTAAATTAAACAATAAAGTGTTCATGATTTTTTGTTATACAGAATTTTCATATATTGAAAAAAAGGATTTATTTGTTAATAGAATTTAATAACCGAACTAATAAAATAGATTAAATAAAGAATAAATGTATAAAGATAGAATAAATAATTTATTAATTGAAAGAAAATTTATAAATTTAAAGGGAATTAATAAAAATTAAAAATATCAAAAATTTTTAAAGATTTTTATAATACAGTGTATAAAAAATAATGAAACTTAAAATATGTAATATCAAGTAGATTACAAAAAATAATCGTTTTTTTAATAAGAAAAAATGGTAAGTAATTCGATCAAAATTATATGGAGCAAAAATATATAAAAAGGAACAGGTGTATAATTGAATAAACGTATAATTAACAATGTAGAAAATTATTTTGAAATGTTTATTGTAACATGTTATTTATTCATATAATAATATTATAACTTTTATATTGGAAGGATTAAATAAGAAATATATCATATAATAATTGGTATAATACAGAGAATATACCATTTATACTGCAGATATAGATTACTTCCAGATTGCTTATGGTATTTTATAAGATTTTTATAGTGGATTTTATATTAACAAGCTATATTCGTAAAAAACAATTCTATATGGTGTTTAAAGAAATATTAAAAATGTTAAATATTTTTGTTTATATCATCATTTCTAAAAAAAATGCGTTAATATATTTTCTAACTTAATTAGAATACATATACAAAATTTAATTTATATCCGATCAAGATTTATAATAAATAAATTAAATTTGACTTAAGTAAATACGATTGACTTAAAACAATTGGTTAATCTAATACATATGTTTAATACTTGTTAATTATAGTCTTTTATTACCCTAAATTAATCACTTATATTTAATTAATTTATAAAAAAAATCAATGTTTTGTATCAAAATGTCATTATCAGGTATTAATAAATGTTTATAAACATTTACCAATTAATGTTTAAATTAATAAAATCATTAAATATAATTAATATTCCTACATTATAAAATAAATATTAATTTATTCATTATTTTGAAATTAACAAATTTTACATACAGAAATAAATTCAGTCAATATATTAAATTTTTTGTACAGACAACTAATCATTTGAACAGTTTTAAATATAATACAAAATTCATGAGTATCTACAATCATGTCATAAAAATACATTTGTAACATTTTTAACCTAATTGTCAATTAATTTTATTAGATAATTTATTCAAATATGAAATTTTCATGTTCCATATCATTATAAGTTTCTGCTACCCATTCTAATAAATATCTGATTCGTTCAGTTTCTTCATCTAATGATCTATATCTATTAATCGCTTCATTCAAGCACATTGATAACTTTTTTGTTATTGTCTGTAAATTAAATAATTTATTCAGTTAAATTAAAAAATTTTTAATACTTATTTGGTAGTATTATTATTACTATAATAAATCTGTTTTTTTAATTATTAATTTTATTTTTAATTATTTAATTTTATTGTCAAAGCATATTTATAATTTCTTACAATAGTCCATTCATTTCTAAACAAGGCGACAGCTTGTTCACTTAATGCGTCAATTGATAAAACATTCATTTTTAATAACTGACTTAAGAACTTTCCGCAATTTATCCATACATTATCATTATCAGCTTGCATCATCAACATTATATTTCGAGGACTTAGTAATCTGGATAATGGTGAATCTGGATAGGAATATTTAAAACGATCTATTTTCCAAATTTTAAAAAATTTTTCTTGAATTTCAGATGTAAATAAATCATTTCTGAAAATTACTATAAATAATAATAAATTAAAGATAAACTGATGAATGTTTGATAAATAAGTTAAGTGATTATAATTTTCAAATATTTAAACATTATTTATAGTAAGAAAAATCAAAAAGATTAATACGTACTTAAGAATAAGCATAAATCTATACTTAATGATAAAATAGTTATTTCTGATATATATTTCAAATCAGAACGTTGCATTAAACTTTCATATAATTGATTCAAGAATTTAGATAGACTCTCCATTGTTATTGTACTTCCATTTGTTTCTATTAAATCCCAAATAAAACTCTGAAATATTAAATTATAATACTTTTGACATATTCTTTCAGAACAAATATTTATGTTTAAAATATATTACTCTAATATTATGTAAAATACTACTAGGATTTGTAGCGTTTGGATTATGAAGATGTTTATCTATGATTAGTTCATCATAAGGTTTTAAAATTCTATTTAATTCAATATCCATATCTTTTGTGAAAATTGTATCTCTAATAATATGCGAATGAATCCATTGATCTATCCTTTCCATAGCCAGTCTTATTGCAATTTTTACACACATATTTTTAACAGGCTTTGAACAATCCTCAGATAAAAGAGATTCAATAGATTGTATCACACGATATTCACAAATCGTTTGTATAATTTGGTCACATTTTTTTTTAATATTCTCCGAAGCTTTAACTGATAATGTATTTATATCTTTTTGTAAATCAATCTGAAAAATTATAAATATTTATTGAAGGTAAAATTAAGATTTTTATGATTTGAAATAATAATCACCTGTATTAATTTAAAATTTTTCTCCAAAGTTTTATGATAATTTTGTTCATAAAGACCTTTCAATGCTTCCAACATTTTTCTTTTTTCTACAATGAATAAATTATTATAAATATACTTGATACAATTAGATGCCACTCTTTCTGATATATATTCTACAGTTTTTCGTGTTGATATTGCCTGTCCATGAAAAAAGGCTTCTTCTAATTGAATCTATGGTCAAATGTATATAAAATTAAATAATTTCAATCATAATTATTTATAAATCAGTTACATATGTGTATATATATTATTTTCTTTCTATCTTAAATCAGCTATGGTATAAAAACGTTACTTCTCTTATTTGTATAATTAAAGCTTAACAGTAATACAATGGACATAAAAGATAAATAGAATAGTAAGTAAAAAGCAAGAGAGAGGATCTGAAAAATTGAAAATTTCTTTTATTGACAAACAAAAAATCTCTATTTTACTCTATACAGTAAAGACAGTTCAGTATGAACTAAAATAGTAACATATACCTGCTTCAATATACAAATTGTATGTTATACATAATACAATTTTATTTACATTTGTCATTTTATCATGAGATATATTTATATATCCTTGATTATCATATTGCGTAATTAAATATAAAACTCAGAGCTAATATAAATTGTTACATTCTAAAAAATTTTAATATATCTTGCTATTGTCAAAGTATTATAAAGCTAGCCCGTCATTTTTTATACTTTAGTGCCTTAATTTAATTAATCTATATCAAATGTAACAATGTTTTGCATGAAATATTACATAAAATTTTTTTTAATCTTCCCTTTGAAAAACTTAACATAATTGAGGTATTAATGATATAAAAATGAATATAATATATACTTATATACATACCTCTAAATGCTTTGTATTAATTTTCTTAGATGGTTTTTGTAATTGACTAGTGACTGGGGTAATATGTCTATATGAAGTATTATTATTTATAGTTGCATTACCAAATGTTAATAAAATGCTTAATTCTTTTAAGAATGGACAACAATTATATAAAATTCGTTCATCAATTATTTCTAACTTATCTAAAGATAAATCATTACTTATCGAAACTATGGATGTTTCTGTATCAACTAAATTATATTCAAGTTTATTAATTGGTTGCTGAATCTTGTATATTATTCCAACATTTGTATCACTATATTTTGATTGCCAAGAAAAATACAGTTCTTTAGGAAAAATCGGTAATTCAAATAACCATCCGATTGTAAATCTTATTAAAGCAGTAGCTTTTTGAGATATTAAACCTAAATTTATGGCAGAATGGTAATTAGAAGTACGATAAATACAATAGAGTATTTCCAACACCCTTTTATAATATGGTAATTGAAGAGATGCATGATCCATCATAGCTAAATATTCAATTACCCATGGTACTGTTAATGATAATTTTCCTTGAATTGCAGCATTCTGAAGACAATATTCTAAATCAATACGAGGTAAGCTCTAAAATTATAGTTTTTTATGAATTTAATATAAAATGAATGTATAAAAATATGCAATAAATTTTTTGGAAAACTAAACTATATTATATACCTTACTGCGTAAAATAATCTGAGACTTTATTACATCTTCTATCATGCTAGTTTCAGATCTGTAGGGTAAAGAAGTCATAAATCCTAAGAATTTTGAAAGTAATCTTAGACTAGATAGGCACACAGAAAAACTTTGTTTTGTGCGTTGATCAACTTCAGATTCTGTAAGGCCACAAATAATAAAAAATGGAAAATGTAATAAACCACTTACAGCTTAAATAAAATTTTATAGAAACATTAAATCATAATATAAGATATCAGATTGACCTGTTTTTTCAATATCACTTCCAACAAAATGTGAATCATTAAGTTCCATAATTTCATGTATAAAAGTGTTTTCTAAATATGTATAAAACATTGGATGAGATGAATACAAAATAAAATCTTTATAAAATTCTTGTGTTCCAGTAAATGAAGGCAATGGAACTGGACTACTTTGAGATAATGGTGTAACTAATTTTCTTGATAATTTTGTTAATTTTTCAGGATTACTGTCTTTTAAATTCTTAACGAAGCTCAAAGTTTCATTATCTACTAAATCTTCCTATTGACAATTTGTAATATTCAAACTAAATATTGTTTACACCTTATACATATATTAAGCAAATAATGTATTTAAATAATATTTTAAATACAAATAATAGTTATTTTTAATATTTTTTAAATATTAAAATTGATTAAAATCAAAATAATTTTTTATTTTAAGTACATTTATATGATTAAACGATATATTTATTAATAAATCTTTACATGAACAAGGAACATTTTAATAAATTCAATAAGTACCTGCTGATTACTATATATACATGATATAAGCATTTGTGATTTGAAAAGCCGTGTAAAATGAGTAAAATTTGTAACATCTGCATGCATTGTTAGCATAGTTCTAATTTTGCTATTTAAAGCTACTTGGAATTTCCATCCTGGAATTAAATGGTTATCTTCCCAAATTTTTAAAATTTCATAAAACATGTCACGTTGTTTACGAAAACATTGAAAAGCAACAGCTGATGGAAAATTTTCACGGTTATCTGTGTCTATTTGAAAACTCACATTGAAATCTACAGTTCTGAAATATTTAAAAATTATTGATGAAAAATGTATGAAACTTCAATTTTGTTATCACATACCCAACTTGTAGGAGACACTTAAGTTGATTACACTCTGTGACTTTTGTATGATAAATTTTATCCAAACACTTGGAAAGATCAGGATGAAATGTAATAATTTGAGTATTTTCACAAAGTAGTTTTAAAGTTACTCTATCTAGGCATTTTAAAAAAGGCTTTTGATAATAGAGAACTTGAGTAGAAAAGTATACACAATTATGAGGAGTATCAAGATACTTTTTAATATAATCTTTAGCAATATTTAATTCTTCAATATTATTCGCTTTATCATGATCTGTAATATAATCATTATTATTTTCTGAAAATTGTTTCAATTTCTTATTAATTGAATTGATATTTTTGTTTGTATCACCTATTAAATTATAATATGTAAGTTCATCAGTTTTAAAATACTGCTCATTATTTACATTACTATAATTAATATTTTTAACATTGTTTTCTTGTAAATCATCAAATTTTAATGAATTTTGTAATACTAATATATTACTGGGTATATTATCAGATTCGTTGTTTAAATGTATTTTATGGTTTTCTATATTTGTTATTTTATTTAATACAGAAGATTGCTTTGGAACAATATTCTTATATTGAATAGTAATCAGTTGAATAATAAAATATAATTCTGTCATTGGATTAACAATTAAGTTAAAATCTAAAAATCTATTATACAGTACAACTAATATATCTAAAATGTCTACATTCTTCACTAATGCTTTATCAGGAATAATTGCAGAATATGATTGGTTAATCTTATGTGAAGTTTTAAATAATAATTTATTTGATAAATTTTGTTCGTTAATTACTTCCAATGCTGTTTCTGTATTTACATTTGTGATATCAGACTTTCTTTCTCGTTCTTTTTTAACAAGTTTTCTTTCAACTTCAAAAGATGCATTATCTATTGATTTATCGATTGGTGATACATTCACAAACTGTGGATTTTGAGTAAAAGGTCTTGATACAGTTCCAAAAATATTTTGTGTATTCCCTATAATAGAATGATTATTATTAATAAGTATAAGAGAATAAATTATTAATAAAACCTAACATTTATAAATGTATTAGTTTGTTATTTTATATTAAATTAAATATATTATTTACAGAATTTTCCTTCATATTTAATCATTTTGAAACTGTACTTATAAGCCAAAGAATCTCATCCATATTTTAACTTTTTTTTACAGTATTATATGCACAAATTATAAATTATCTCTTTTATTAATTTGATAACTTTTAATACTTGATTCTTCAAAATAACTGTTATATTTTATTATCTTATCATATACAACATATTTCTTTTATAATTGTTTTTTTCTAAAATATTTTTTAAATTAATCTATCAGTAATTTAAAATTACAGTATTTAAAATTACTTTTACTTTAAATGTAAAGATTACCTTTTTCATCTGAATTGTTAAGCCTTGTAGGATTCACCTTCCTTCTTCTGTTACATTTCAAATATTTAATAGAGTTAGATGAAACATTATTTTGATCATTGTCTCTGTGTTCTGTATTTTTTGCAATTATTTTAATATGTTTTTTACTATTGCCTTTTTTTAAACTTCGAATTTCTGTTCCAATAAAATCACCTAAGCAAATATTTTGTCTTGGGCTAATTTTTGAATTTTTAGAAATATTATTTATATTTCTTTCAGATGTACTATTATTTTCTTGAAAATAACTGTTATTAGATAAACTACTATTATACCCATTTTGTGAACATTTTACATTTATTGGATTTAACATAGATGAGTTGTTTTCTAATAACAAAACAGATTTTTGTGAATCTTTCATAGACAGAGAATTCTCTGAAATATTTGAATTATATAATTCTAAAAATTCATTTTTATGAGCATCCGAAGAACGTGTAGTAACATTTAAACTACTTGACATACTTTCTCCGAGGCTTGGGAAAGAAATATTATCAAAACTAACATCTTTACCAACTCTCATATTAATAATTTTTTCATAATCAAAACTTTCATTTTCATTATTAATTTGATTACTATTATTAGGACTATATTTAAGTAGTTCAACATTTTTTTTATATGCAGAATCGCATTTCTGTATTATAGGTGTACTTGTTTGTGGAGTTATATTTGATAAAATTGAATTACTATTTGAAATTTCAATCGGTTTATTAAATACAGTCACACTATCTTCCATAGGTATTGTACTTTTTAAAATTTTACAATCTAACAACTTTTTATCATTTATTGCTGAACTATAACCTGTTGGTGTATATTTTTCAGATGATATATTAACTTCTGTTTCAATTTTTGATTTATGAATATTATTTAAAGTATATTCATAAATATTCTCATTAATATTTGATGACTCTACATCAGTTTTTATACATTTATTGGTATTAATAATCTGTGATTGAGACAATACTGTTTTTCCTGTTTGTTTTGAAAAATTATTATTGTGAAGAATACTAAAAATTAAAATAAAATATTATACAAAAACGATGATTACCTATATAATAAAAATTATATAATTATAATATAAAATTTGAAAAATAATAAGTGTATTATTTATATTATTGTATAATAAAGGTAAATTAATTTAAATAATTATTTTAAACATTTTTTAAATGTTACCTTGTAAATTGGTCATGTAAATAATTTAAAAAAAAAATAACAAATTCTTCTCTGCGACAATTCTTATTAAAATCAGTCCATTTAATATCCTAGAAAATTATATAAAAACTTGTATAAATATTAATAATTTTACAAATAATATATTTTAAGGAATATAAAAATATAATGACATAACCTATATATTTGGAAATGGAATATCTAAAATAAAAATTATAATGTTAAAAACTTACATTAAAATTATCAGTTGTTAACCATTCAATAATTTTTTCAGGTGAAATTTTGAAATTCAATAAATTATTTAGTATTTCTTGTGCCATTTTTGTCATCTACTGTTAATAAAATAAATATTTTAATTACAGCGTTTATTATTAAGCCTTTTAAAATTATTTATCATTTATTTGATAATAATAGATAATTTTTATTCAAATAAAAATATTCATTTGTTTGAGTTTAAATAGTATTATGTTTATAAATAATGATCGTACATCATATTACGCTTAACTATAATCAACAATAAACCTACGTGGTCCGATAATTCCCGCCACTAAAAGATGAGACAACGTGAAACAATCCATTATCATTCTTCTATATTTCGTACTTTTCCTTAGAAACAAATAATCAAAATTAAAAATATTTGAGTTTTGAAAAATGTATAAAAATTACAAATTGCGGTCAAATATTTATGAGCTTATAATATTATCTATTTTTTTCAATTTAAATACTTGTTAAATAAAAAAATAGTGATAAATTTACATGTTCAAATTATATAATAAAAAAATCGTAGATAATTTCATTTTTACATATACATTTATTTCTATTATCTTTATATAATTAATATTTTTATTAAAAATATATAATATTTGTGTAAATAAATTGATTTTTAATATTAATATTTTCATTTAATTTTCTTAACACAATTTAGTTTAACGAATTTAAATTTTATTATACCGATTTCTGAGTTCTATGATTTAGATGAATAATTAAAATTAACTGCAAAATTCATTGAAAAATTTTTTTAAAAAATAAAGAAAATAATTCAAGACTAGAAAAGAGTTATAGATATCCAATTTTTTAGTTAATCAAACAATTTCGCGTTACAAAACTCATAAAATAAAAAATTTTTATGGATAGCAATAATAAACAATAATGCAATTGAATAAAATTATATTAAATAAAAATAGTTAATAGAACAAACTTCTATACATAATGAACAATAATAAATTAAAAATAAATAAATAATAATAAACAATAAAACATAATACATGATAAACATTCTAGACACTTCTATGTATGTGTTCAAAAATCCGTTTGTTTATTTTATCCGATTCGAAGGATCAAATGAATTTTGCTTCTGGCTCGAACTGACAAGTTCAATAGTTCAGTTTATTTGTCGCCCGTCTTAGCGATACTTAGGAAAGGACATAAGTGGAAAGGTTGTAAATATGTATAGTGTGTGTAAACTTCGTTTAGGACATCATTTATTTGGTTTTATTGACAATTTCACTATTGTTGTTCTGTTTTCATTTCTCGCGGTTGAGAGTGAATTATGTTATATCACAATGATGTAGTTGCTACTAGGTAATGGTGACGGTGTTGTCGATGACGTTATGGGGATCAGCAATTAATTTTGTATATGCCTTGAAGGGGAATATGGCTTGGTTTGTGGTCTATGCTAACGTTGTAAAGGTTAGCAAGGAGAGCCGACCATTTCATAAGGAGAGTATGGGAATATGATCTGTGCTAATGTCACAGGGATTAGCAGGAGAGTCGACCATACTCATAAGGGGAGTTTGGGAATGTGATCTGGGTTAATGTGGCAGGGATTAGCAGGGTGAGTCGACCATACTCATAAGGGGAGTATGGGATTTTTTATGTGGTAGTTATTCTTAATAAAGACTGCTGATATATCTTCGAGTGAAGAAGGGTCCAATACCATGCTTTGTGTAGTCAACTGTTTTCTAGAACTGCCGTCAGCCTTTCACTTGTTGTTAACCGTTGCACATTGGAGAATTAAACGTATGTTCTTTGCAATGGCTGCGCTGAGAGAGCGTGTGTTGCGTGATGACTGTCTCTCTGCTATAGACTCCGTTTAATGGTGTGGCTTGAGCGTAGATGACTGGCTAGGACTAGTGACTGATTCGGAGGAATAACTGGCACTGTGTAACGAGTGACTGCGAAGTGACAATTACGAGAAGTCTTGATGCGCGCATCCTTAACTATCGGCACGGCAGCTATAGCTGGCGACAATGCTTAAGTGCTGCAATGCGGAGACTAGCCGCCTTGTGGAAGATTCAAGAATTGAAGCTTTGGACTATCCGAGAAGTCGGCGAAAGCAAAGTCTTGGAAGATTCGACAATTTAATCGACGTTGCTATGTGAAGGCGAAGCAGCCTTGCAGAACGTTCGAGAATCTAAGCTTTGAGTTAGTCGAGAATTCGGCGTAAGCAAATGTAAACATTCGAGGGTTAGAAGGCTTGGTGAAGTTCCGAGTACCAAAGGGCTCGAAAAAATGCTCCAATTCCGAACAGTTTGTATATACATAATAACACATTTTAAGATATAATGTATTAAAATGTACAAAATTAAAAAAATTAAAATCCAGGTGAATATTTGTGTTCCTTTATTCCATGCAATATAACATCTGGCAAAACAACATCGTAAATTTATCTTTCAGATTTCAAAAGTTTCTTGCTTACAACCATCTAGCAATAGTGTTATAAAACATATGGCAAAACAAGACAATAAACACGGGTAAACCCAACTCATTAGGCATCTGTATGAATTCGCTCCGATTGGTAACTACATCAAGTAGTATGTACTAGCGGACCCCTATCCCCTTCTCGCTGTCAACAAGTTGTCATGCTGTCGCCAGATGCGTCAGAGGCAACGAGAGCTCGTCTTACCGTGAACACCAAGAGATGACTACGCCTTTAATTAACTATGAAACCACAAGAGGCGCTGCCCTTGCTCTGTAATGGAGGAATCCTGATTGGACGAAAAATAACGGAAGGGGTTCAAATAAAGTTCATGATCAACTAATGTATTTAAGGGGCGCATTTTTCAATGTTCAAAAACTCTCAATACAGTACTTATTCAATTAAAAAGTGGAGGTCCGACCAGAACGTAGTTCAAGACAAAGGTCGTTACAAGTCCTAAAGGACAGAAGACATATTCCCTTATCGAAGTTCGAAGATAAGTGTCCAGTGGCAGTCCTCTTGAAGAAGGAACGGAAAGTTCCTCTACTAAGTCTACTATTGGTTTTCGTAAGTAGAATATGTCCATACTCATCGTCAAGGTCGCGTCAACTGATGCGAGACTTTATGACCTTACCTTCCCTTAGGTAAAAGTCTCACACTTATGAATCCATAGTGTGCTCAGGGCACTAGTATGTTTGAGACTCTGCCTGCGACGGCTTCCGGATGAAAAAGACCTGAGACGGCTTCTTGCTCAGGGCACTAGTATGTCTGAGACTCTATTTAGTATGAATCTGTTGAGTGTACCTTCGTGTCGAGACTTGTTCATCATGCAGTAGTGTATTATGCCGCTCGTGACATGTCATGCTTGCTCCTGCACAAGTAAATGGGATGGGGTCCCAAGCAGTTGTAACACAAGTGTCGGTTACTTACGAAACCTTTTGTTTCCGCTATCGACATTTCTTTGAACGTTGGGCATACGGTCAGCAAATGTTCCTGTTGACAGCAGTCTCACATCTTGTTATTCTTGGGACCTTCTTGTGAACTCTTCAATTCACTGAAATTTTTTATCCCGTTGGATTCTCTATGTTCTCTAGAACCCTTACTTGAGACATTAAGAATGCCTTGAGTTGTTCAAACTAGGGGTAGGAAGTGGAGTTGCCAAGTGAGCTTTCCAATTGCACTCTGGTTTGATAGTCAAGTTGTCAAGTAACTTAGTGGACGATCATGCAGTCCCATGCATCGGTGGTGATGTCTAATAAGCGCAACCTTTTTAATAAGGCACTAGCATCACTTGCCTGTTTTTTTTACTGTTGTTGAAGTGGTGAGGAGTTTTTGGAGATGAGTTTTTATGGCCAGTCGAAAGTTCTCATATCGCTTTGTTAGATATTCTCAAGCGAGTGCAAGGGAGTCATTTTGTAGTGAGAAACCCTAGATGACCATTGCTGCCGAGCTTTAGAGTGATGTTCGGAGATAATACAGTTTTTAGTAGTAAAACGTTACTGAGCCCTTGGCTATTTAGAATCATTGATTGGAATAAAGCCAGGAATATGGGCCATGCTAAATAATCGCCTGAAAATTTCGGAATTGGAATGTCATGAAGACAGGCCACTTCCCTTGATTGTCCCATCATAGGCGATATTTCATCGGACTTTATGGTTATCCTTGTTAATTCATCTAATTCATGACATAGCCTGGTGATGGCTAATTGCACTGAGGAATGATGCTTGAATTCTTCTCTTTGGGCGTTCTTCGTAAAGTAGTCATGATCTGACAGGTCATATGATCTCAAGATAGTTATGCTTTATTTTTAAATGTCTAGTGTAGGTCGTCAATAAATTAATTTATGCATAGAATTTCTTTAATGAATG